CAGAAAGGAATTGACTTTGATGAGATTTTTTCACCTATTGTAAAGATGGCCTCAATTCGAGTTATCCTTAGATTAGTAGCCAGTTGAATCTAGAGCTTAAACAAATGAATGTCAAGACAGCATTTCTTCATGGTGATTTATGTGAAGAAATTTATATGAAACAACCAGAAGGTTTTGAAGTTTCGGGAAAAGAGAACTTATCTTGCAAATTGAAAAAGGCTTGTATGGCCTTAAGCAAGCACCAAGGCAGTGGTACAAAAAGTTTGACTCGTTCATGGTGAACCAAGGCTACAAAAGAACCGTTGCAGATCAATGTGTTTACATTCAGAGGTTTCCAAATGGCAATTTCATTGCTCTTCTATTGTATGTGGACGACATGTTGATCGTTGGACAAGATACAACAAAAATTAGCCAGCTGAAAAAGGAACTCTCCAAGTCCTTTAACAAGAAGGACTTAGGCCCAGCTCAATAGATTTTGGGAATGCACATAACTCGAGATAGGAAGAATAAAAGATTATGACTATCTCAAGAAAAGTATGTTGAACGAGTAATCAAGAGATTCAACATGCATAATGCTAAACTCGTCAGCATTCCATTGGCCAAACACTTCAAGTTGAGCAAAAATTCATGCCCTTATCCAAGAAAGAGATAGAGAAAATGTCATTGATACCTTATTCTTTAGCAGTTGGAAGCCTAGTTTATGCCATGGTCTTAGATGCTCGGACTCGGGTACGGGTATCGGGTACGGGTACGTATCAAAGTGTCGGATCTTTTATTTTCTAAAATGTGGGATACTGAGACATGGCTAAAAATAGTCCAAATTTAGGACACGGGTATGTGGCCACGTTTTTCAAACTTCAATTTTGTTTTTTAGATTTTTTTTTATATTGTCGTATTTTTTGAATTAAAAATGATGAATTGAATTTTTTTTTAAAAAAAGATTAATTTTATTGTTTGAATATTTTATTAAACTAGAATATGTTTGGTGTAAAAATAATTACATTATTAGCCCACTCATATCCATTTCCCAAACTCCAATTAAATCCATCCATATCCAATATCAATATTATTAGCCCAATAAAAATGGTCCAAACCCCAATTAAATCCATCCACATCCATATTATTAACCCAACCCACCTCCATATTATTAGCGCCAATAAAAATGGCCTAACTCCAATTAAACCTAAGTCTCTTCTTTCATTCCCGTCTTCCATCTTCCTTCTTCTCTTTCACGATTTTAAGGTTCCACCGGAAGACATCGCTAACCTGCTATTTCTTTACACATCTTCCATCTTCAGCCAATAAGGTAAATTTTCATTTTTTCTTAAGATTTCTGTCGAGTCTGATTGAAATTGGAAGAATCGGACCCGTATTCCGTACCGGTACTCGTGTCGTGTCGACACGGGTACTCCAACCAAAATGAAGAGCCCGAGCATCACTGGCCGTGGTATGTACAAGGCCAGATATTGCCCATGCAGTAGGCATGATGAGTCGTTTTCTCTCTAATCCTAGAAAAGAACATTGGGAAGCAGTTAAGTGGATTCTTAGGTACCTTAAAGGTGCATCAAAGATATGTCTGTGCTATAGGGGAGCTGATCCAATCTTAAAAGGTTATACTGATTCAGATATGGTTGGAGATCTTGATAATAGAAAATCTACTTCAGGATTTCTCTACACTTTTGCAGGGATAGCTGTTTCATGGCAATCAAGACTACAAAAGTATGTTGTTTTATCTACAACAGAAGCAGAATATATTGCAGCGACTGAAGCTGGTAAAGAAATGTTGTGGTTAAAGCGATTTCTTCAAGAATTAGGGATCATGCCGAAAGATTACAAAGTACACTATGACAGCCAGAGTGCTTTTGACTTAAGCAAGAATTCAATGTACCATTCTCAAACAAAGCACATCGACATCTGTTATCATTAGATAAGAGAAGTGATGGATCAACAACTGTTGAAACTAGTGAAGATTCACACAAATGAGAATCCACTAGATATGTTAACAAAGGTGGTTCCAAAAGAAAAGTTAGAGATATGCAGAGACATAGCTGAGATGGTTGTTAAATAACAATTGATTTAAATGCGACTGGAGGGGGAGAATTGATAAGTCCAGCCGCATCCCAGTTGCATTCCAGCCAGTTTTTAATCAGTTTCTTCCTTTTGAAGTCATTGAAAATCAGCCACAATTTGTTACCAATTTCTTAATGAGCAAGTCTTTCCCATGCAAAAGACAAATTGAAGGCAGCCACCCATTTTGACTCTTCAACAATGAACTATGTGGCAGGTTTTTTGGCCAGAATTTTATGAGAGTTCGTAGTCAAAAATTTTCCATAAATATATGCTACCATAAAGAGAATTTTGATACCCCCAAAAAGAGAGAAGAAAAGTCCCTTGAGAGGAAGAAAAAAATAGTGTAGAGAAGAGAGAAAAAAAGAGAGATTAGAGAGAGTCTTTTGAGAGTTTTTTTTTTTTTGAGTTTGTAAACTCCGTTGTAAATTCTATTCAAGTAGAAATAGAATTGTTTTTCCTCTTTTATTCTCTTCTCGTGATCGGAGAATCACAACAATCTGTACCTTCCAAAGGACAACTTGCAGATATATTCAGGAAGGGTGTTAATATAGCTACTTTTTAGGAGTATTCTACGCAAGCTGGGATGTACAAATATCTTTAAACCAAATTGAGGGGATGTATTGCTTTCCTATTTTAGGAGATTATGAGTTGACTAATCATCGACATGTAATTTAAAGATAATACATGATTCATCCATTTGTTCTTTTTAGATCATGTTCAGAAATGCGTGGTAATGGCAGACATTCGTAAATCAGCAGAAATTCCAATAAACTATATTGGGTTTTATCATAACACCTTATTTATCGCCAATGATATATTTCAAAATTGAATTTGACTTATCACAGGCATATACTTGAAACCACCGAGTGAAGGAAATTGTAGAAAGCCCAAATTAAAAATTTAGGGATAACCAAATAGAAAATGAAACTACAATTAAATCCAATTTATTAAGTCATTTTCCAAGAAAAAAATACCCAAAAGATTCCAATTATAATTATACCTCGCCCATCTGATATACAATTGAACAGGGTGCTATTCCTTGTCTTCAAAACCAAAACAAGAAGAACAAAAATACAATACTGGCAATAGCATTTCAAAACTGTAAAGCTCATACCTGATAAATAAGGGAGTCCCGGTAGTGCTGAAGATAGAGATAGACTTCGCCGAGGGACTGAGACGTCAGAAGCACAAGTACTTGATGGAGACATCGAAATCAACACGTAGCCATTACTCACCGTGGTTCCTCAGTATGCCACCAATCTTGTTGGCCCACAGTGCCTCCTCCTGTATGTTCCCCACCTCCGCCACGCTCTTGTAAGCCCTATTGGTGGCACTCAACTGGTGACTTGTTTCGTCTTTTTGTCGCATTTTAGATTCAATCTATAATATTTGAAAGAAGGATTCAATATGTTTTCTAAGGGATTTTTGCAGCTGATCGTGAGATGAATATTGTGGTGGGGTTTTGGAAATGTTTAAAAGTGAGATGCAATTCGCGCAAAAATAGGGTTCCGAAATAAAAAAATATAAATAAGAAAGTAAATCAGGGATTGTTTGATAGTCATTTTTATATAAAAATGCATTTCAAAATAGTAATTTGATGGGAAGTATGTGGTTAAAAAATAGAATTTTTTTAATTTACGTGTAATATTATTTTAATAAAGAATGTTTATTTGAAAAGAATAGAGATAAAAATACATTTTGAAAAAAATCGATACCAAACGGGGGCTTAATATAATTATATGTTTGCCCCATATCTATGCAAATATGTTAAGCCCTTGTTTGAGCCCCATTTTGGATGGGAGAAAATGAATTTTTGAATAGTGTATTGATGTGAAATGTGTGGTTAAAAAATAAGGAAATTTTTTAGATTTGCATGTAATATTATTTTATTGAAGAATGTGTGATCGAAATTATTTCAAAACACTGTTGAAGAATTCATTTTCTCCAAAAAATGGGGATCAAACAAGGGCGAAATTTATCTCCTTTTAATTGATGGTTCACGTACAAAGTCATTTTATTTATTTATTAAGCCCTTGTTTGATTTCCATATTTTTTTCCTCTTCTTTTCAATCACACATTTTTCAATAAAATAATATTATACGCAAATTAAAAAAATTTTCTAATTTTTTAACCACATATTCCCCATTATTTACTATTTCAAAATGCATTCTTAGTCAGAAATGTGGTTTAAATAGACGTTAAGCCCTTGTTTGGTTTTAAATGTAGATTTTGATAAAAGTTGGAAATAATATGTGATTCAAAAGTTGTAAATTTCTTAATTTTTCTTGTTAAAATTAATTGTTGACTTTAACTTAGATTTAAATACAATTTTTTATTTGAATCAAACAGAGACTAAAATGAAAGTTATACCTTTATCCATGCAAAACCTATCCTACGACCGCTCAAAACTTCAGAAGATTATACTCAAACCCGATTAATGAAATGGTTTACTAAGACCATGTTTGGTTATTAAGTTGAATTTTAATTTGCACCAAATTGAGGCTAAGAACCATCAATGAAAATTCATCTACTTTTGGGGAAATTTTGTGGTCGTTCGCGGCCTATTAAATTTAGAAAAATTGGTACAAAAAGTCCCTAACATATGGTCCTTGTGTGCAAATGGTCCCTAACATTTCATTCTTGGCATTGACTTCTCATCCTATTGATTATGTGCAAAAAGTCATTTTTTAATAGTTTCTGTCCATTCTTGTGGACATAAATATACATTTAAAGCATCATTTGTGCAAATTTCTTAATTTTAATCTTTATAATATTGACTTGAAACAGTAAAAAGCTTCAAGAATATACCTAGCAATTACTAGTATTTACAAAATAAAGCCGGCCTTAGAAAAGTTTTTATTGTTAGCTTCTCTCCCCTTTTTTGTCGTGTTGTGCATTGGGGGAATATGGAAGCATCATTTTGCATAAAAAATCTATGCGCGTAAAATGTGTAGGACCATGACTTGTCTTCGTCGTTATTAGCTCAATCATCTTTGAAGTTACCAGGCAACTGCGGGGAAGAATTGACTTTGACAAAACAAACTGCTTGTTGCCTTTCTTTGGCAGAGAGGACTGGAAAAATTTGAGCTTTTTTTCTTTTCCTCAACGCCATCCATTTCTATACCAAACATGTCATCAGCATCCCCTCCCTCCAGTTTATCCCAAATGGTTAATCTAGTCTTCTTCTTCCTTTATTCTCTTCTTTGCACCTTCGCAGTTCATTCCGCAGATAATTACCTCACAGGGGATATAGCTATTAACTGTGGTTCAACTGGCATTTCAACCGCCTTCAATAACAAAGAATGGATTGGAGATATAACAGAATCAAAATCTACTTCCTCAATTGTGATAAAAGGCTCATCTACCGCCTCAACTGCCTTCCATAATTTGGTTTCAACAGATTCCATTCCCTACAAGACAGCTCGAATCTCTCGCAAGCAATTCTCCTACACATTTCAAGTTAGTCCAGGTCAGAAACTTATTCGTCTTCACTTCAGTCCGGCTTCTTACTATCGTTTCAAAAAATTTAAGGATTTTTTCACTGTCGAAGCTGGGGCTTTCACTCTCCTTAGAAACTTTAGCGCTTCACTAACTGCTGATGCCCTCGGCGTGAAGTCTTTGGTTAAGGAGTATTGCATGAATATAGAACAGAATCAACCCCTGAGTATAATTTTCTCTCCTGAACACAGTCAATCTGATAAAACATATGCTTTTATAAATGGAATAGAGGTAATATCTATGCCTAGTTATCTTTCTTACTCTCATGATGATGATCTTGGAGCCCGAGTGGTTGGCCAAAAATCTAGATTCTATATCGACAACAACACTGCACTGGAAATGATGCAGCGATTAAATTTCAAATGGGACCCTATTCCTTATCTTGGCATGTTTGGGAAATGGGCAACAGTTCCAGATGAAAAGATCAAAGATTTTACCTGGAAAACGTCTGTGGATGTTGGATTCGGATACTTGCTCAGGCTTCATTTCTGCGAGAGGGGACTTCAGATGGCAGAGACTAGAAACAGCGTATTCAGTGTCTCCATAAATGACATGATTGCAGAAACTAATGTTGATATTGGCAAAGAGAGGAGCGTCGTCAGTGGAATCCATTTGCACAGAGACTATATGGTGACGGTGAAAGGAAACAAAGAAGATGGCAGTCGCGATCTATCAATTTCCCTGCAGTTAAAGGATGAATTGGTAACTGAACTCTTCAGAGGATTGGAGATATTGAAGTTGAGCAACCACGATAATAGTCTTGCAAGTCCAAACCCCTCCCCTCCCGGACGATCTTCAAAATCTGCTAGAGTACAAAATTTACTGTCATTTTTTGGTCATGGAAATGCAATTGCTACTGGTGCAGTAATTATAATCTCCCTAGTCAACATCATTACTTATAAGTTGCGGGAAATTTGGGAAGATAACTGTACCGACTCTGGATACAAGCCATCGAGCTTGACTGGAAAACTATGTCGTCCTTTTTCGCTTACTGAGATCCAATCAGCTACTGAGAACTTCAATGATGCACTTGTTATTGGGAGGGGTGGATTTGGCAAAGTATACAGAGGATTTATTAGTAAGGCGCAAAAGATTGTAGCCATAAAACGATTAAAATCCAATTCCAGGCAAGGGGCGCGCGAGTTTTGGACAGAGGTCGAAACCCTTTCGCAGCTCCAACATACTAATATCATTTCTTTAATCGGATACTGCAATGAATGCCAAGAAATGATCCTTCTCTATGAATATGTTCCTAGTGGCACATTGGCTGACCATCTCTTTGGACTCAGTGGACAGAGTGATTATCACTCCTCTCTCTCTTGGGAGCAGCGACTGAGGATCTGCACTGGGGTAGGCCGAGGATTAGACTACCTTCACACTGGCACTGATCAAGGAATCATACACCGTGACATAAAGGCTTCGAACATCCTGCTGGATGAAAATTTGGAGGCTAAGATTTCAGATTTTGGGTTGGCCAAAGCTCGAAAGAGAAATTGTGTGCAAAGCTATGTCAGCACTAACGTTAAAGGTACATATGGGTATTTTGACCCAGACTATTTCAGAACTCGTAGATTGAGAAGGAAGAGTGACACATATGCCTTCGGGGTTGTGTTGTTGGAAGTACTGTGCGAAAGACCAGCACTGGATCGAAGAGTCGAAGAGGATAAGCAGAGGATCCTCGCCATTTGGGCTCAAGATTGCATCAGCAAAGGAGAAATTGATCGCCTTGTTGCTCCAAGTCTGAGGGCCCAAATATCACCAGAGAGCCTGATGACATTTCTTGAAGTTGCTAAAAGATGCTTGCATGACGAACCAAATAAACGGCCTACAATGGCTCAAGTTGTGGTACAACTTGAGTCTGCACTGGAGCAGCAGGAAAGCTCAAAATCTTCTGCTCCAGAGATAACTAGTTCTGATAGTGTCGTGCCTCGTGCTGGGGAAACTCTCCATTCAATTAACACCGAGATAGAAGAAATGTCCTCTGTGGATGAGCAGAATATGCCTCTCTCTCTGACTGAAAGAAGCAAAATGGCTCAGAATACCGAGCCATCAGGCAGAGGAGCACAAGTGTATAAGAAAAACAAAATTGCTTATAAGCTACCACGATTTCGGCCATGGAATGCATTATGGAAAAGGGCAAACATGATAAAGAAAACCCATTTATCCATACCAGGTATTGAAATGACCGCACACAACTTTGATAATAACTTCGTAATTGGAAGTGATTTCAAGTGGTTGTCTCAGAAACTCACCCAAAGCTCAATAAGAAGAAATAGATGCAGTTTAATATACTATATATTCTTGTCGTGTGGTCTGTTATCTGTTTACCTTGTGGATTCATTACGATAAAGCGTACATAGAAACTTTTATAATTGGAGCAGCCAAGCTTGAAATTAATCTTAGGCTTGTTTGAGACATCTATCGCTTATAAGTTCTATATCTGTGTGTGTGCGTGAATGCAAATGTCTCAGTTATTATTATCAAAATGCTTCTCATTTTTTGATGTTTCAGTAAACGTAGAAATGAAAAGGAGCACCAAAAAAGGATTCATATGATCCCAAATTTTTTGGAAGTAAAACTTTTATATTTTGTTGTTGTTTTAGTTGAGAAATAGTGATTTCTGTCATTAATGGATGTCTTCTGAAATTTAAACATTGTATGTACGTTCCTCATAATTGAGCTCTTAATTGAGCCTGGCAGATCACTGTAAATTATTTCTGTCAAGCTTGGTTCCTTTGATAGTTAAGACAGTCAAGCTTGAGCAAATTTATTTATTAGTCAAAGTCCAAATTTGAATAGCACTAGGTTCAATCCAGTTTAAGTCTCACAATAAATGAAGGAATTATCTTGCAGAATATTTTGGAGAGGAAGTTGAATCGCATAGATTTGATCTTGCTACAATTGCAGCTGCAACTAATAACTTTTCACTTCCAAATGAAATTGGAGCAGGTGCATTTGGTACTGTTTATAAGGTGAGGTTTGCTTTACCTTGTTTTGCTAGGAAATTAAGACGGTGATGTGAAGTTCAATCTTTCTGCTAATGCTATTCTATCGGTATAGGGTCTGTTATCTACAGGAAAGGAAGTAGCTATTAAAAGGCTTTCATCAAATTCCTACCAAGCCGACAGTGTTCTTAAAAATGAGGTTCTTTTGCTTTCCAAACTTCAGCATCCAAACCTCATTAAACTACTTGGATATTGTCTTCATGGACAAGAAAGGATGCTTGTATATGAGCTCATGGAGAAAAAATCTCTAAATGCTTACCTATTTGGTTAGATTCCAGTCAGCCTCTCATTTTCGAAAGACTACACTTTAGATTCTAGTATATAATTTTCTTACCTCTGCATTACTTAAATACTGATAAATATATATGAGCTAACTTGACTTGAAATGAGACAGGTGAAAAAAGACATGAAATTGGATGGACCATACGTTTCAATATCTTTATTGGTATTGCTCGTGGAATTCTCCATCTTCATCAAGATTCAGGATTGAGAATTATTCATAGAGATATCAAAGTAAGTAATATTTTACTTGACAAAGAGATGAACCCTAAAATTTCGGGTTTCGGTTTGGCTTGTACTTTAGAAGAACATCAAGCTGAAATGATTACCTTGATAGCTGGGACAATGTAAGTATCAAGACAACCACGCGTACTTTTAACTCTACCTCCATCTAAAGTAGCCCACTAATTTGTGTATTTTGTCCAATATTGATATGCAGCGGTTATATCTCTCCAGAATGTCTTAGAGAAAGTATAATCTCAGTAAAGTCAGACGTGTATAGTTTTGGAGTTCTTGTCCTAGAGATTGTGAGTGGAAGAAGCATTCATAGTGCTTTTCCTGACCTAATTGTCTGTGTAAGCAAAAAACTAACTTAAAGATTATCCTTCTAATACTTGATGTCACCAAACTATACCCTAAGAAATGAGTTGTATATATGAGGTATCTGTTCAGGTCTGGAAGATGTGGAATGAAGGAAAAGCCTTAGAATTTTTAGATAAATCAATGAAGGATGAGTTTCCAGCAGATGAAGCATTAAGATGTATCCAAGTTGGACTTTTATGTATCCAAAAACACCGAGGTGATCGACCAACAATGCAATCAGTGCTTGAGATGTTGGAAGGAGAAGTTCCGTCGTTGCCACAACCATTACCACCTCCATATTTTGAAAATGAAACGTATTCTGAATTGAAGACGAGCACTCACATCGACACTACCAATGAGGTAACTATTACAGAGTTAGAGTGTCGATAAAAAGCATGTCCACATGACTGCAACCTTTTTGATTCAGTTTCAAGGTGTCTTTCATATGATTGTCAACAAAGAAACATCATTAATCTTATGAAGCTATTTTATATCTGAATACTATGCACAACCCATATAGTAGTTTTTTGCATGTAAATCGTATAAATATGTTAGTAATAGTTCTCATTCGCATCCTTTCTTTGAGTTTGAATAATTGTAATGACATTCAAGTCCTACATTTGAAGATAAGATTATTTGTCTTTTACTTTGCTAAATTCTGATAGACATCTCGAGTTCATTTTGTAACAATTGGTAAGATTGCATTTAAAGTTGAGTATGAATGAAAATTAAGAACTATCAAGTAATCTAACCGTTATAGTGAAAAATGACACATTTTTACCAAAAAATAAATAAATAAAATAAAAATTCACAACCTAATTTTTATACATTTTTTTAACATAATAAAAAACCAGAGAGAAAATATTATGAAAACTTATTAAAAACACAATTTTTTTTCGTGTAGAAAAGAACATATATGTATTGAACGATGCAATGATATACAGCAAGTAAATTGTCGTGTCCTACGGGCTACAGCTACAAGAGGGATGTGGAAGTTTGCCTTTTTTGGCAGCCCTATGGTTAGTCCACAAACCCTATTTAAGTCCAAAATTGAATTGAAGGAATTAATGACTGATTTTAAGAATAGAGGCATACCTCTATTTTTTGCGTAGTCACTAGATTCACATACCGATAGGTTAGTGTTTGGATCAGTGGGTCATTATTTAAAAATTATTAAAAAAAACTTAAAGTATAAATTTTTTTGAGGCAAAATTAAAGTTTTAAGTTATTTGTTATTAATTAGTCAAGTCTATTAAATAAAGTAAAATGGTGGACCATAATAATTTTAAATATATAGTTAAAAAATTATAAATGATTTATGACATGCATATAAGTTATTACACAAAAGTAACAATAAAGTATTGTGTGTTCTAGTGGTGAGGAGTGAATTATTTTACTTGTTCCAAGTTCCTTGGTCCCAAAAATTTTAAAGGAAAAATTATATGCACCTTTTTTTTAACTTCTCTTTTCAACAATTAGGTACAAGATTTTTTCTTTTCAAAAATCAGGTGCTCTAACCCACACTAACCCTAACTTTAAATTCATTTCCACCCAAAATTTCCTTATAGTCCCAAACAGTAGATCGCCACCTCCCATTCCCACAGCCAAAACTAATAAACGGCGGCCACCACCGCCCTGCTCTTCCTCGTTGTCGGCATGAAAGTGAATCCATGGTTGTTGAAGGCAAAAGCGTAAGTGAGAAGTAGATCTATGGCTCTAGAAGATGTTGAAGTCGTGACGGCCAATGAGTGATTACCTGCGACACCCTTAAGGCAGTGGTGCTACGTGCTAATGTCCCTATGTCGTGCCTGTTGTGTAATGCCCCAACCCGCATGGACGGAAACATCACTCAAATCATTGTACCTTAACCGTAAAGTTAGTTCAATATATTTTTAGTAGAAGGTATAAATATTAGATTTTAGAATTTAATTAAAGAATTTTCTTCTTTTTTTATTTAAACAATAATCCAATTCTAAAAGAAAACAATTTCAAAAATGTTTTTGGAATGGGTTCCATGCACGTACCGACTATTGACGTGAAATTTTGTCAAAACTTAAAAAGTAATGTTGCTATACCAGTTTTTGTCTCAAACAGTAATTGTCAAAATAAATTTGTTTTCATAGCTATCGACTTTGGAACTTCATCAAATTTTAATGTAAGGTAGTAAACTCCTTATAATATGACATAGTCAAAAATTAGCTTCCGTCGACATCATATGGGGTACTCAAATATTTTTCAAAACTCAATAGCGACCCAATTGAAAGGTAAACCGATGCAGTTCACTTAAAATGGCATAAAAAATTCCACCGACGTCAAAACCACATGATTTCAAATTTATTCAGTAGCTAATCCATGAAACTATCCAATCCAATTGGTTTCGTATAAAAATACCAAGTAACGAAAGAGTTATGATTTTTTTAAAGATGAGGTAGAAACTGAAATTTCTGAAGAGACATCAAAACTTTAAGTTGCTAACTTTTTTTTGTATACGGTGATTTGTAAATTTATTCATATGACGCATATCTACTTTCAAACATAGTTTATTCATAACGAGTGTTCGTAAAATAGATTCACACAATATTCATAGGAATCAAATTTAAAGAAAGTGTAAATATCTCAAAATCAACTAAAGATGTAAATCACCGGCTTCTCCATGACATGTTGCATCATCATTTACCATCATCTATGTCCCAAGAAAAATCCATTCAACGTGTAGGAAGGGAATTAACCCATGAGTTTGAAACTCAATAGATATCATCGGTGCAATTTGTTATCAAATTAGAAATTTCGAACTATAGATTCATACTGTCGCACGTAGATGGATTTTCGGCAAAATCCAATTATTATAGCATTATTATAACACGTAGAGCGGGAGAATGATAATTCAAACTGTTGTAGTGCCAAAGCACCGTACTCGAAGGTACCATTTCATTTAAACATTTATCGAAAAATCAGATTTGAAAACGAATGAACACTTGCACCTCTACCTACTTTGAATTTTCTTGGATAAAAGAACAAAATATATAGAAAACCTTCCTTCTTCTCACCCTTATTATTCCTTAAACTTAACTTGATACGAAATATATTTTTTTGAGAGAAAATGAGATGAAATTCAGATTTGAAGAGGAGTGTAGTGAAAAAGTAACCTTCCACTTCTATAACCTTTCTTTTTAATGAAAAATTAAGTGGGGGAGTTGTATTATCATTAAATATATTAAATTTAGTCTTTAACTAAGAATTTGAAGAGTCTTTAAGTCATAAAAATAATTCATATGAAAGTTTTATAAAAAAAATCTACATAGTGACTCAAACCTGGGTTGTCTATATGAAATACCATGTAGATGACCAATATGGCAAACCAGTTATTCATTAAATCTTTGTAATCAATTTTACTTAAATTTAATCTTTTAAATTTATGGACTTTTAATTAACTTATGACTTGGGCTTTCGTAATCTTACATGGGTTGAGCTTCCATAGGTCGTTTCTAAAATGGGTTAGGCTCGTGGTATTAGATCATCACAAAATAACAGCATAATTCCATTTTATTTTTTTCTCGGCTACTACATCTTGGCTATGTTGTGCATCACTACATAGATCTCACAGTTCTTCTCCTTGTTTTTCATATATATGTAAATTCTTAACATGTGATTACTTCAAGTGATTGTTGGAGGGGATTTTAAGGAGACTTGTGGTGGTGGTGATTCTTGGTAGTGGTGGCGGTGGTGAAGAGGTGACAGTAGCATTTGGGCGGATGGTGATGGCAGTGGCATTTGAGTGATGCTGGTGGACAAATGGGGTAGGATAAATAGCATTTGTGACCAATTATTTTGGGTAATTGTAATCAATCAAATGAGTAGTTTGTGATCAGTAAGTAATATGTAACTTAAAAATGTGTAATTTATGACCAAATCTGTAATTGTAAATCACAAATTTTATATTTGTGATTGTGACCATAAATTATATGTGATTTGTGATTGTAACCTGATTAATTAAATTATTGATCACAAACATCTATCAAAGTCCACAAAATGTGACCAAACTTTTATCAAGGATACTTGATTTTTGAAAAAAAAAAATTCTACAGGTTTATTTATTTTCGAAAATGTTACTTGAAATCTTTGTAGTTATAATTATCTAATAAGAGAGAATTTTGAAATCCGGTCAAATCGAGCAACTTTGCCAACATGTTTAACATAAAACCACTAGTTGACCCAATCAAAGCCTAGTTTTGACTAAGTCACATGCATTCTTATAAATTGGTCCCTTTCGGCCTGAGTCATCTGGTTTTCGGCCCGACCTATCGATCTGGGCCAGATTTAATAACACTGTTTTCTTGTTCCCCTTCATAAATTAAGTTCCTAGCTATGCTACTGGGTGAGACCTCATCCACAATCTGTTGTTGTATTGTGAACTCCAATGGTATGTTTCAGCCCCTTGTTAATACGATCTTTTTGCCAACATATGATGGCCAAATCTCGTTACCTCTTCCTTATTGGTTAAAAATATGGCTGAAGTACATTCCTTGCACCCTGTTTTGGCTTGGGATTGGTAACTACTTGTGTACTTGCTTGACAGGGCGAGCAAACTTGGGCATTGAACCTTGTCTATGCGTGCAGTTCTTTGTTTGTGAGGCGTGACATGTAACAACATAGTAGTTTTATTCATCGATTTGTTGGGTGCTGAATACTTTGTAAATACCCTTAGAGGCATTACTTTGCTCTATCAAATTCGTGAGAAAATCCTACAAGTGTTCATTGGGTCGAATAGTTTAAAACTTAAAAATTCTAGTCAGTAGAAGTAATTAAAGGGTATTACATCGCATTAATCATGTAGCAGATATCAAGTTTGCTATTGGAAAGAAATGAAGATCGAATGATAACCCAGACTAATATTGCCCAAGTGCAGCTAACACAGAATTCTTAGGTGCCGGGCCATGCCATGTTGACATTTACATTCAAGTTCCCCAATAGTAAAATATAAACGTTGCAGGTAATGTGTAAACAATAACAAATACGGTATTATAAATGGAAATTCGTAAAAGAATTAACCATTTAGATGAATAATTGAAGAACAATCTTCAATGATTTAAGGAGGTGTCATCTATTGAGATTGTGATGGATTTTAAAAATTATTTTAAATTTAGTTGCCCTCAATTGAAATTTTAATGGATTTTAATAAAATCCATGAAAATTTAGTTATGCCCAAATGAGATCTTAATGAAATTAAATGAAATCTTTTAAAATTTAGGTATTCTCAACAATTAGTGGATTTATAAAGATTTCATTAATAGATGGATTTTAAAAGATTTAGATGGATTTCAAGCTTAAAAATACATATAATCAAATTTTTTGAAATTTCACCATATTTAATGATATTTTTATGGAATTTATAGAAATGTATTCAAATTCGTCAAATTCATTAGAATTTATAATCTATTAAAATTCATCAAAATCTTAGTTGAGGAAATATCTATTAATTAATATTCATAAACCAACCACTTACAAGAAAGTCCCAACTGAACTTTCAAAAGAATGTGAACTCTAAAAAATCTCTCTCTTAGAAGTCCTAATCCAAACTCCTAATTTATTAAGAAACATTATGAAATATTGTATCTATCATTCTCCATGAGACTCTCTCTCAA